TCATGCAAAATCAGCCCCCTTTTCCCAATGCCCAGGCAAAACCACGTTATTGTTGTTGTTCTAAAATTTCACTTTGCAGGCTCGCAGCTGTTGGTAGGCATTTCTGCAAAGCAAACTATTGTTTAGAGCTTTTTTCCCCCTCACAGTTTTGGCCTTTTCTTGCTTTCCTCTGCTTACGTGCAGATGGTGTACTAAAGTACAAGTTTGAGCAATAGGAATGGCCTCAGTACTCCAATTGTGTCCTGCACACCAGACACAATTCACAGCAAAGTGGCTGATTCCGAAACGACCCAATAACGCGTCCGTGACAGTGCGTGTGAAATCAGACATCTACAAAAACTTCGAGCTGTACGTCATCCCACTTCATCAACACACGGGCCTGATGCAATGAGTCGTCCTTTCGTCTTTGAGATGAACAGTCAAATTCAAGAGACATGAGGAAATGACAAAAAAGAAGCTTTTAAACGTGCAGTTTTGAACTCAGGGAGAGAAAAAGAATACATGCTGGAATTTGGGTGATTGAAGAGTGAGTGAGAGAGAGAGAAACAGAGTTGCCTGGGACAAAAGCGGTATTGTATCATTTAAATGACTTCTGAACTGAAAGCTTTAAAACTTCTCCAGAGGGCTAGGTCCATAAAACAGAGAAACAGGGGTTGGCAGGCCCTCACCTAGACGCTTCCAGGAAAAGGAGATGTAAAAATCAATTTGCCGTGAAAAAGGTAAACAATCGGAAATGACAAATATGCAGGTTTTTTTCCATTCCTTTATTTTCGAAGGTATTAAAAAAGCCAGAGGAGAATGAGAAGTCGGAGACATAAGTCTCCAGTGAAAGATAGCAGATGGCGTTTGCCCGCCCCCCTCCGGACCTCCACCCTTTTCCCGTCCCGTCTTGATAATTCCAAGCTGTGTTTTTTTAGTTGTTTTTGAACCATTGAATCGTTTAAAGCTACGCAGACAGGTCTTGAAAGTTGATGATTTCTACCAGCAGCGAGTGTAGTATTGTTTATTCTGCAGTTGAGACTTGATACATGGTGAATAACTGCGGTGATACGGGGGAATGTTGGCAACAGGTGGGTGCCATTGTGGAGGAAACGATTACAATAACTCAAAGAAGTGCCACAGATTGTGTTAGAATAAAACAGGCAAGGCCCCAGATGCTCTGGTATATGTGTTTTGTTGAAACAATGAAGAGAAATCAATGTGCTTTAATTGTCTTTTAAAAGCATCGACTTTTTCTTTATTTTTTTCTCTTTCAGACCCCCCTCCCCCTCTGCTCATACCTTTTAGCCCGAGTGTCTAGTTTGATGTTGGCTTTGTGCTGGCACTCACCTCCTCCTGACTAAGGGCGTTAGCTCTGCCTGGCTGCCCCTTCGGGCTCGGTCGGGGGCTCTGAACCGGACTAGCAGCCTTTCTGAGTCAGTCATGCGAGCTCTCCAATTAAAGCCAAAGGAATGAATATGCCTCTTACACATCCAGTCTATCTGCCGCTATCATTACAGAAGCGCTTCTCTAAAGATGGCCTTTCAAGTGCGCTTGGTGTCAGAAGTAAGGAGATTGGAATGAGCCTTTTAGTATGCACTTCATTAGAGTGTTATTGCCCGAGGTTTGATTGGAGATGGAAGCCTTTTTCCATAAAAAAAAGACTCAAACTTCCACTACCCATCGTTTTGAGCTGGTGTTTTGAGACTCATGTTAATTCAGGTGTTAATTCAGATGTTTCTGTAGTCCTGTTCGATGCTGGCTAAATGGACTATGCTGATAATACAAGCATTGTGAATTCCTTTGTTACAAGACTTTTTTTTCTGTACATGTCATGATTTTTGTCTTAAGAAACATAATCCTCTTTTCATATTTCCCCTCCTCCTCCCTTGTTGAATAGAAATAGAACTCTTTAAAAACTCCCTCGGAAAAAAAAAAAAAAACGGTAGGAAAAAAGATTGGTAAAAAACCCCCCAAAAAACAAATACATTTTCCAGGTCCTTAATTAGCCTGTTTTTCTCCCTCTAGATATTCTCTATTTCTTCTCCTTCACTCTGCCTTTCGCTCCTTCCCGTTCCCTCAGCATTTACTCTCCCCGCGTAATTGAACTTGTCCAAGTATCCTTCTCAGGGGAAGGACAAAGAGGCTAGTCTTACAGTAAGAGTATAGAACAGGGAGAGAGATATAACAAGATAATACCATAAAATAACGTAACACATTACTTTCCAAAAAAGTAACTAAGTAACGTAATTAGTTACTTTTTTATGGAGTAACGCAATATTGTAATGCATTACTTTTAAAAGTAACTTCCCCAACACTGTGTATATATATATAAATTATTATATGAATACATATGAATATGAATATATGAACATATACATTTTATACATACATTTAGTCATTTCTTTAAACTGTAAACTACATTTTAAAGTTTAATCTAGACTTTAAAGATTTCCTCAGCAGATCAAAAGAGGTTTGTCACATCCATTTTAGGTGGAAAAATATAAACAAATGATATAATACGTAGTATAAATGCTAATACAAATTATATATAGAGAGAAGGCGGGTGGGAGCGGTGCACGTGTGTGTTCCTGTGTGTGTGGAAGTACTGAAGGATAAAAGCATTGTGGGTTTCCAATATCTGTCTTATCATTCAGTTTGTGCTTCTATAAACTCAATAAAACTTTTGTTTGTTATTCTTTGCCATTGAGATCAAGACCAAACAATGTTGTCATCACTGCGTTTTCAGGCCTGTGAATAGACACATTGTGTCTTTTTCAATTCAACCCGACCCATTTTGGCTTAATCCAGTACAGTTGGTGAATTAGAAAGTGCCTTTATAATAGATTTAAATTGTGATAATACAATTAAATGTTGTTGCTGAGGAGACAGAAATATGACGGAAAGCTTCCATAAAAGACATTGACCTTGCAAACCTCCCATTACAATGGAGACACCTAACTTCAAAGAGGTGCGGGGTGTTAAGGAAATGTTAATTGGTTGACACTGAGTGGGAATGGTGTTGTAAATCTCCCAACAATTTGATCCAATCACTGGAGATGAGTGGACCCCCGTGACACCGGTCCCAGCGGTACCTGTGAGCGGCGCAAATATAATGTTAATTTTATTTAGCCTAATTATGACAGCGAACAGGTTCAACCTCTATTTCCACGCAAACAGACCCACATAATCTCTTAACTAGGTTTTAATTGTGTGCTCTCATTGCTTATTTGTATGTAACAGTTTTATAATAAATACAACTGTAATTCATCCGACAAGCATGAAAGGATTATTTTAATTAGTGAGGCAGCTTTGCCCAAAACTGTATCAGTATTAGGAACCAGGTTGACGTAAAGTCAGTTTTGCTCACGGAATTGTACATTTATGCACCAGAGGTGTTCAGACCACCTTGCACTGTCCTCTGGAAGTAATTAGAGCACTAAAAGCGCTGCAATGTCATGTTTTTACATTTGTCCATTCCTAAATTGGAGTATGTAAGCGATCCACATGCATTTTAAGCAGACTGCTCTCAGTAGCTGGAATGTGTTTGATTATGACGAAGAGAACAAAGTGAGGAGTTTATCACCTCCTGCTGCTTTGGAAAGACGTGTTCCTATTATAGCTATTGTCTCTGCTGGAGCATTGATGAGGATTTTAATTCCCAAGAGCCTTTGAACATGTCCTTGCACTAAGAAATGTTTAGTCATGCCGGTCCATTTAGCCTTTTAATCTCTGCTGAAGTTCTGGGGGTTGAGTGATGTTTCCAGCTCAACAGGTTTTTAAGATCTACTTTTAGAGGTCTCAGGGAAAAAGAATTCCCCTTGCCCCCCCCCTTTGTAGGATTTGTACATGCATACACAATAAAAAAGGCTTCACAGCTTGAAGGGTGACAGATTTTGAGCCTGTGCCACTTTTGAACCTTCAAGGCCTTCAGAGATTCCATATGGATTCTAGATGTTTGTGTTTTGCGTGCAGCATCTGGCATGCCTCTTTTTTTTGTTGTTGGATTTGTTTTTTTGGCTATGTAAAATGTGTGAAAACCACATTAGTGGATGACATTAGGCTAAATCTCAGTCCTCAGACTAAAGACAAATGGATATCATGCAAAATCAGCCCCCTTTTCCCAATGCCCAGGCAAAACCACGTTATTGTTGTTGTTCTAAAATTTCACTTTGCAGGCTCGCAGCTGTTGGTAGGCATTTCTGCAAAGCAAACTATTGTTTAGAGCTTTTTTCCCCCTCACAGTTTTGGCCTTTTCTTGCTTTCCTCTGCTTACGTGCAGATGGTGTACTAAAGTACAAGTTTGAGCAATAGGAATGGCCTCAGTACTCCAATTGTGTCCTGCACACCAGACACAATTCACAGCAAAGTGGCTGATTCCGAAACGACCCAATAACGCGTCCGTGACAGTGCGTGTGAAATCAGACATCTACAAAAACTTCGAGCTGTACGTCATCCCACTTCATCAACACACGGGCCTGATGCAATGAGTCGTCCTTTCGTCTTTGAGATGAACAGTCAAATTCAAGAGACATGAGGAAATGACAAAAAAGAAGCTTTTAAACGTGCAGTTTTGAACTCAGGGAGAGAAAAAGAATACATGCTGGAATTTGGGTGATTGAAGAGTGAGTGAGAGAGAGAGAAACAGAGTTGCCTGGGACAAAAGCGGTATTGTATCATTTAAATGACTTCTGAACTGAAAGCTTTAAAACTTCTCCAGAGGGCTAGGTCCATAAAACAGAGAAACAGGGGTTGGCAGGCCCTCACCTAGACGCTTCCAGGAAAAGGAGATGTAAAAATCAATTTGCCGTGAAAAAGGTAAACAATCGGAAATGACAAATATGCAGGTTTTTTTCCATTCCTTTATTTTCGAAGGTATTAAAAAAGCCAGAGGAGAATGAGAAGTCGGAGACATAAGTCTCCAGTGAAAGATAGCAGATGGCGTTTGCCCGCCCCCCTCCGGACCTCCACCCTTTTCCCGTCCCGTCTTGATAATTCCAAGCTGTGTTTTTTTAGTTGTTTTTGAACCATTGAATCGTTTAAAGCTACGCAGACAGGTCTTGAAAGTTGATGATTTCTACCAGCAGCGAGTGTAGTATTGTTTATTCTGCAGTTGAGACTTGATACATGGTGAATAACTGCGGTGATACGGGGGAATGTTGGCAACAGGTGGGTGCCATTGTGGAGGAAACGATTACAATAACTCAAAGAAGTGCCACAGATTGTGTTAGAATAAAACAGGCAAGGCCCCAGATGCTCTGGTATATGTGTTTTGTTGAAACAATGAAGAGAAATCAATGTGCTTTAATTGTCTTTTAAAAGCATCGACTTTTTCTTTATTTTTTTCTCTTTCAGACCCCCCTCCCCCTCTGCTCATACCTTTTAGCCCGAGTGTCTAGTTTGATGTTGGCTTTGTGCTGGCGCTCACCTCCTCCTGACTAAGGGCGTTAGCTCTGCCTGGCTGCCCCTGGGCTCGGGCTCGGGGGCTCTGAACCGGACTAGCAGCCTTTCTGAGTCAGTCATGCGAGCTCTCCAATTAAAGCCAAAGGAATGAATATGCCTCTTACACATCCAGTCTATCTGCCGCTATCATTACAGAAGCGCTTCTCTAAAGATGGCCTTTCAAGTGCGCTTGGTGTCAGAAGTAAGGAGATTGGAATGAGCCTTTTAGTATGCACTTCATTAGAGTGTTATTGCCCGAGGTTTGATTGGAGATGGAAGCCTTTTTCCATAAAAAAAAGACTCAAACTTCCACTACCCATCGTTTTGAGCTGGTGTTTTGAGACTCATGTTAATTCAGGTGTTAATTCAGATGTTTCTGTAGTCCTGTTCGATGCTGGCTAAATGGACTATGCTGATAATACAAGCATTGTGAATTCCTTTGTTACAAGACTTTTTTTTCTGTACATGTCATGATTTTTGTCTTAAGAAACATAATCCTCTTTTCATATTTCCCCTCCTCCTCCCTTGTTGAATAGAAATAGAACTCTTTAAAAACTCCCTCGGAAAAAAAAAAAAAAACGGTAGGAAAAAAGATTGGTAAAAAACCCCCCAAAAAACAAATACATTTTCCAGGTCCTTAATTAGCCTGTTTTTCTCCCTCTAGATATTCTCTATTTCTTCTCCTTCACTCTGCCTTTCGCTCCTTCCCGTTCCCTCAGCATTTACTCTCCCCGCGTAATTGAACTTGTCCAAGTATCCTTCTCAGGGGAAGGACAAAGAGGCTAGTCTTACAGTAAGAGTATAGAACAGGGAGAGAGATATAACAAGATAATACCATAAAATCCATTTTTCTTTCCCTTAAATCTCACCAGCATGGCCTGTCAGCACTGTAAGCGGTAACTTGTAAAACGAAGAGGACAGAACTTGATCGTCTGGGTGATTATGGTAGCGTATTGTCTGCATGCTGTTCATTAGAGTCGCTCTTACTCTCCACTCGTCGCCCAACCTGTTAATATCTGCTTGACTTTTAAATGCCACAACAAGCTGACTCACGATTATGATGGCCAGACTTGCTCTGGCCTATGTTTTATTTTTCTTATAGCGAGGCAGATAAACAGTTAGCGTGAACTAGGCATTGTGCAAACACATCGCAGCATGCAAGCCATTAATTCATAATGAGATAATCATGTGGAGGGAAACATTCAGTAGCATAATATTTAGACAGACAAAACACAAACTTCACAAAGGGAAGCAGCCCAGGCCGTATCTTTCCTTCTCCCATGTGGTTTATTTTTATGGTGATTTATATATATACTGTATATATATATATATATATATATACACACACACATAATTTTTGTGAACACAGATGGGTAAGTTGAGGTCCTATTGATCATTTAAACTTGCTCATTTATTTGGTTTGTCCACTCGTTGGCCTATTGGTTCTCAAATGGTTTTAACTGGTGGCGACCCAATGCAATACCAAAATAAATAAATAAATAATTAAAATAAATAAATCAAGTTTTTAGTTCAAGTTTGACTAGACACACAGCCTTTGACTTTAACAACAATTAGAAAAAAAATTTAAAAGTTTGAGTTCTATTTACTTTCTTATCCAGACTCACCAGTTGAGAACCATTGCTCTAGACATAAGTCTTCAAACCCCAGTCTTGTATGCATCAGAAACATTATGAAACTTGGCCAAATTTGTCTTATCAAATGAAAAATTGCATCCAGAGCCTGTTTTCCACTTAAGTTGCCAAATCTGAGGGTTTCCTACTCTTGAGTCTTTCTCTTTTTTTCTCTCCCTCTCTCTCTCTCTCTCTTCAAATGAATCAAGGCTAAAAGGGATCTCCCTCTCTCTCTCTTTATTTTTCTTTCATCTTCTGGCTGGAGGGCTGTATTAAAATTGGCACATTGAATACCCACAGTCCTCTTTGTGCCGTATTAGAGTAATTGTCATGACGAACTTGCTCATGTTTAGGGTCTGGGAGGACAGTATGCACTTTCACATTGTGTCCAGGTTATTTATTTATATATCTGTAATGGATTTTATATTTTCAGGTTATTGAAATTACATATTCAACTCTTATATTGTAAGAAGTGAAAATGTGCATGTTTTTTAAAACCCTGCGGAGCTATTTATACCTGTTCTGACACTTAAATTTGACTTTCATGCTTTAACCTAATGTAGTCAGGTTAATTGATTCATATTACATAATGTTTTTGACTTAAAACCTTTTCATTACCACGTGTTAGCACATATTTTAGGTTACCTGACAATATAGTGTGTGGCACAATTTTAATATTGTAGTTAGCAATGAATTTTTTTAAGTGAATGATTTTTTTTTTGTCATGTTATAGGAATCCTCCATCCATCAATTTAACATTACATATATATGTTCTGAATTTTTAGAGTATAAAGTCTCATGATGGTTTTGTTCCAAACACAGCTTAGTGAACTTTAAACTAGGCTAGGAGCAACTTTAAACAACCTAGACAGAACTTTAAAACATGCATTCAAATACTTTAACCTTGAAATCTCCCCTCGCAAATGTGGCAGTACTCTTTTTTTTCATCTTTTAAATGTTTGATTGTTTGATAGTTTGAGGTCTATAGCAGAAACCACTCGGGAATTAATGTCATTCAGATGCCCTGCGGAAATTACTTTTGAAATGCATATAATCTAAAACATGCAAATGAGGCTGACTTTATGCACCCTGTTTAATATGAATTATCATTTTCTGAATACCTATTATTACTGCGTACATTTCTCCAATTATATTGTTCTTTTTTTGTCACTTCTGCGCTCTCGCACGCACACGCACGCACACGCGCGCTCACCCCCAAAAGTGTGACACACGTGGTAGAGAGAGAGAGAGAGAGAGAGAGAGAGTTCCCTGGTGTAGAGTGTATATTTCTTCTGGAATCTTCTTCCAGTATTTTAATGACATGTAATAAGCCTGATAATGACACAAAGGCAGCTACTCTTGTTCCATAGAGAGGAACGGAAAACGAACTAGGTGAAAAGGCAACATGTCATGTACTGATTTTTAAAGGCATCCATGCTCAAATTGAATTGAGACACAAGCTGCTTTTTCATAGTGGAAAAAAACACTTCACGCTGGATATAAGGACAAGTTAGTGAGAGCAGGCATAATTCATGAATATTGAATAAATGCAGTGGAAAATTAATGTAATATTAAAGCGAACTCTGCATGTTTAGTTTCTTCCCTGATTCTACATGCGTTCTGACACCTCATAACAATGACTACAGTTAAGCAATTAATGTTCTTGTCTACGAAACTGGTGTATGTGCTCTCTTTTTTGGTTGGGGGGCTGAGACATTAATTGAAGGCATCCATTTTCAAATGAATTACCTCTCTAATTTATTTATATTACATTATGAATTATTCTATTGATATTATTATGATTCAAATTAGTAATGCTTTTCCACCGTTCGTTCTAGTGATATCAATTTGCATTCAAGTCACTTTAACAAAGATTATCCTTTCTGTGCTAAATAATAAAACAGACGTTTTTTAATGCAATCAGCACTGCTGAAGATGGAATTAATATTTCAGGTTTTACTCATGGTAAGAACTTTATTAGGCAGTGCAACTACTGGAGAATATAATATTAAATTACTAGCAATTGATTGCTCTCAGTTACTGGTTATAAACAGTGGTGGTTTTCTCCCAGAAATCAAGGAACTGAAAAAGTGTGTGTGTGTGTATGTGTACTGGTATTCACTACATTATGGGGACAAAATATCCCCACAAGTATAGAAATATCAGTATATTTTGACCTTGTGGGGACATTTTTTTAGGTCCCCATGAGGAAACAAGCTTATAAATCATACAGAATTAAGTGTTTTGAAAATCTAAAAAGGGATAGAAAATGCAGTTTGTACAGTAGAAAATAAAAACCATTACGGCTATGGAATGTCCCCATAATGATAGGAATACCAGTGTGTGTGTATATGTGTACTTGTTTGACAATACTTGTGAGGGCCAAATGTCCTTATTTATATAGTGAAATAATATGACAACCCACTAGTAAGGACATTTTACTGGTCCTCACTAGATAAAAAGGCTTATAACTTGGCCAAAACATGTTTTTATTTAAATCTAGTGTTTTGCAGATGTTTCTATGAGGGGTAGGTTTAGGGGTAGGGGCTGGGTTAGGGGATAAAAAGTATCATTAACCTGATTAAAAATCAATGGAAGTCTATGCAGTGTCCTCACTAATATAGTAAAACAAGTGTGTGTGTGTGTGTGTGTGTGTGTGTGTGTGTGTGTGTGCGCATGTGTGTGTGTTTGAATATCTTTAGGCATGGAGCCATTTTGAAGATGGTGTTGAGTTATTGCTTATGAGATGCCTTGGACCAATTTCAGAAGTACTACAATTCAATTAATTTGAAAAATGGACATGCTATCATTTTTTCCACATGCCTCCTTCTAACGTGTTGTTTTTTTATTACAGAGTTATACAATTTTATTTGATTATACCCACTCTGATCCAATCAGTTAATTAACTTAGAAATCCAGAGTGCCAGTCATGAAAGCAGATGTGTAAAATTATATCATGTCCACTGAACTTAAGACATCACTTTGCCCCACCACCTCATTTAAAGTCTTTAGTTAGTTACATTTCCTCCTCTTCAGGCCAGTTTAATCAGTCCTTTTCATAGTTTTTTGTCTGAAAAAGTCAGTTCAATTCTAACCTATAATTGGATTTTAATAGTATGATAATAGTGGAATGACCAACAGACCATGATCTGTTTTTGCTAAAACTAAAAGTTTTTGCTAAAAACTAAACATTATTATATATTAAATTATTTAATTATATTTTAATTTTTTTGTAATTAATAATTTATTATATAATTAAAAATATCTATTTATGTTTTTAACAGTATATTTTTACTACTATTTACCTTTGGTGAGAAATCACTTTCCATTACCCAAATCCCTTTGCTTCTGCCATGGCTCTGATTGGCTGTCATTTATGTTTTTATATTCATTGGAATTTTATTCCACTTTTCTCCTCCAGCCAGTTCCATGCTGTCAGCACTGAGGCATCCTTGCTTTATTGAGTTGGCATGGACCAAAAACATGAACTGGCTTCACTCCAGATTTTCCTGTTCCCACTGTCTTGTTTTTAAATCCAGATCAGCTGACTCTCAAACTCTGCCCCCATCTT